TTTTGGAGAACGACCCATGTGCAGCTGAAAAGAATGTGTATTCTGATTTTGTGGGGTGGAACACTCTGTAAACATCTGTTCAGTTCATTTGTTCAAGAGGTTGATTGAGTTCTAGTATTTTGTTGCTTATTTTTTGTCTAGTTAATCTATCTATCTGTGACAGTGGGGTATTGAGTTCCCCCACTACTATTGTATTAGTGCTTATATGATTTTTCATGTCCGTTAGTATTTGTTACACATAGTTGAGCACACTAATGTTTGGTGCATAGATACTTAGGATTGCCATATTTTCCCCTTGGATTGTTCACTTTACAAGGATGTAGTGTCCTTCTTTGTCTCTCTTAATTTGTGTTGGTTTGAAATCCACATGATCTGCAAAGAGGATAGCTACTCCTGATTGTTTTTGGGTTCCCGTCTCATGGAGTATTGTTTGCCACCCTTTAACTTTCAGTCTATGGTTTCTTTTTGAATTGAGTGTGTTTCTTGTATGCAGAATATTGTTGGATTTTGCCTCTTGACCCATTCTTCCTGTCTATTTCTTTTGATTAGTGAGTTGAGACCATTAATATTGATGGTTATAACTGATACATATTGACTTATCCTTGTCATGACTTTTTCTTTTTGTTGCATTCTCCCCCTTTGCTTTTAATTTCTTGTCACAGGTGGTGGATTCATTCTGCTGGGCTTCCTGGAGTTGTGATCCTCATTGCCTTTTCCTAAGATATTGTCTAAAATTTTTTGGAGTGCTGATTTGGTATTCATAAAGTTCCTAAGGTGCTCTTTGTCATCAAAGTATCTTAATTCTCCATCAATTTTGAAAGATAGTTGTGCAGGGTACTTCAATCTGGGTTGGAGGCTGTTTTCCTTTAGGGCTTGAAATATGTCACTCCAAGCTCTTCTTGCCTTAAGGGTTTGTGTTGAGAAGTCTGCTGTGATTCTGATGGCCTTTCCTTTGTATGCGATTCGTTTCTTTTCTCTAACTGCTTGTAGAACTTTGTTCTTCTATTGGGTTTCAGGCATCTTAACTATTATATGCCTATGTGTACATTTTTTTTTTGATCAAGGCTTATTGGAGTCCTATATGCCTCACTATCTGTATGTCAAGTTCTTTTCCCCTGCTTGGGAAGTTTTCTTCCATCACTTCTGTGAACAGTTTTTTTTTTATGTCATCTGCACTCTCTCCTGTTTCTTCATTGACTCCAATCAGTCTTATGTTATTCTTCTTTGCATCATTTAGTGGCTGCTGGAATGATTTCTCATGGTCCTTTACAATTTTATAGCAATTTTTCTTTTCTTCATCACTAATTTCAATCTTATCTTCTATATCAGAAATTCTGTCTTTACATTGGCTCATTCTGCTGCATAGACTTTCAGTGGAGTTTTTAGTCTCTTGGACATCTATTTGAATCTGATTTATGGATTCCATTTGTTTCCTCTGTTAGGATTCCATCAATGTTCCTCAGCTTCTCTATTTTTTTTTAATCTGTGTCTTCTCTAGATTCATTAATCATGTCTTGCACTATGGACACGATCTCTGCTATTATGTGAGAAATTATTTCTGATTTCATTTTTTCCAGATCCTGTTT